AATTATGACTTTAAAGCTTTTAAAATATTTAATATTCGATTTTGATTATGTTGATTATAACCACTTTTTTCTGTAACTTGAAGGACCAAATTTATTATAAATGTCCTTAAGATCATTTTTTTGGAGTTGATCTACTCTGTTCTTTACTTCTTTTATCTTTAACACTTAAGATATATAATTATTCATAACCATTACCATAAATAAATTGAAGAACATTTTTTTTGCATAATCTTATACTTTTTCTTTGAAATGGATAATATGTAGGGACGGATCCAGGGGAGGGGCTAGGAGGCCTCCCCCAGACATACTCTTTTTAAATATAAATATTATATATTATAAATAACAAATAAACAAAATCTAAACTTCTTTTCACATTGTCGCTTTATATTATAATAAATAATAAATAATTTATTTATCACATACCTACCTACGACTATTATGACAACATTTTCAAATTAAGAATAAAGTATAATATTTTGTTATAACTGTATTCATGTCATAAAAAAACTGTTGCCCCCACCCCCAGGTCTTTGTTCTGGATCCGTGAATGATAATGTGAAACCATTTGATCTCAGTGATCAACATTGGTTTTATTTATATAAATTGTAGTCAATATTAGCCATTAGATTTAAACTTCAGAAGTTCACCAGTTTTAGATCTACTGTGACTTGTTTCTTATCCACAGGATGAGCATTGTTGATAAAATATATTAACATCAATATTCAATACCTATACCTACGTCTTTTGTACCCCTCCATTTTATACTCGCAAAGGCACTATTGCAATTCGCTATTGCAAACATGTTTATAACATATGTAATTTCTCCTTTTTGTAATTTTTACTTTACTACTCCTTTGTAAAGGTACCTTAATTATAGGTACTTTATATACCTTAAAATGGTAAATAACAAGACACCTATAATAGTATTAACGGATTGTATAATTTAATTATTTACACAAAAATAAAAAAATAAATGTTTAAGAATTATGCACATAATAATATAATATATTACCTACATGGTATATACACATAATATTATGTGTATTTAATATTTTTAATATTTTTAACTGCTATCTATTATACAGAATTATGAGTACTTTATAAATTATATATTATATTTTCAAGCTTTTTGACCCAACGAATATAATGTTGTTGACATTTATAGAATAAAAAACAAAAAAACTTTCGAATTTTAAATGTCTATAAATAACTCAACAAGTCAAAATATTTTGAAAATTTTATCATATTTAGAAAATGATAGTATAAACATTTGATGAAAATATCAAGTACCCACGGACAAGTAATAAATACTTGGCTAAGTATATAACCTATTAAGTGTCAAACAGTGGCGTAATTGAGAAAGTTTCATGGACACGGGGGGGAGGGGGAGATATAAAAATAAATTTGTATAATTGTGGGGGGCAAACCTCTTTAATCCTTATCTCTGTTGTAATTAATAAATACGGTTCGTGGGTAGGTATATGAAACTTTTAGAATATATTATTATATCTTATACACAAGCAATGACATTTTCAAATAATATTTCTTTTGGCAAAAATGAATTTAACCTACTGTTGTACTAATGTCTAATGAATAATAGTATAAAATAAATTACCTCAATCACAATCATGTTATCAAATATAATTAATAATATTAGAGGCCGACAGACCGTCTTCATTCAGAATCGTTTTTCGAATACAATTTTAATTATATCATTGAATTCAAATTTTTTGTCCGGGCGGAAAGTCCCTTTCTAGTGCCTCTACGGCTAATGGGTGTACCCTTACTGTATATTTATTGTTACACATACTTCGTGAATACCCGGCGTATTGTATAGGCAAAATAGGTACATTAAGGAAGTGTTCAATATTGTCTGTAGTACCTAACATTTTAGCTTATCGCCCTTATACAGTTATACTCTGTTCTATTCTCCGTTCAGGGACTGAAAGTGGTTGCATACAAATCAAAACCACCTCCACCACTGAATTCTACACTCTTGGGTACCTGCAGTTGTGTGCGCAAAGTAACCACATTCAGTGTTAGTATAAGTTTGAGTATAAGTATGAAACACAATATGTAGGTATGTTTCAATAGTGTGTACTGCACAGTCAAATAAAAGAATATCTAAGCATTCAATCAATATTTTTTGAATTAAAACAAAATGTACAAAATGCCATCATATTTATTCCAAAATACTTGGTATTTAAATGTCAACTAGAGCTAAGAATAGACAATTTTTTTATAATCAGGACTTGTATAGAGTAGACCGTCTACTCTACACTACTTTTCTAGCTCTAGTAGACGTATTTGATATAGTGTATCGTTTTTTAGAATAACTTTAGGTATTATATACAAATATTGAAATATATAATGTAAAGGAATTAAATTGACCCAGACTTCAATTACTTCAGTTGTTGATTGATAGCAGAGTGACCATCACAGTTTTTTTTACATTAAAAATTAAAAAAACTGGGGAGGGGGGAACATAAACGATTTAAAAAATCAATTTATTTTTAATATGTGAATAAATGACACGCTGATAATGATAAAATAAACAAATTATGACCATTGTATTTACTTTTTATGTTAACACGTTGACTGCGTAGGTATGTCTTTTTGCAGTTTTCCCCCAGTGCGTATGATAAAAGTAAAAACAAAAGAAATTAAAAAAAAAATATAAAGAAACTGCTCATAACGATGTATGTATACATATTTAAAAACATGCGTTTAATCCACGCTAAATAATAATAAAATAACATTCAGCCACGCGTAGGGAATTTTAAACCATTTATTTTAAATGTATATTAGACGCCATATGGCGTCAAACGCGTTGCTGAATGATACTTATGACGCCAATTGGCGTCAGTACGCACTACGCAGTGAACGTGTTAAAGATACTTACCTACTATTTATAAATCGTTATTTTTTGAGTAGGTATCCATTTTATTTAAATGTCTCCAAAAACAAAAATTAAATAGATTGATAAAAGAAAAAACATCGGGAGGAGAACGTGGGTATCCGCAGGCATATGTATTTTAAAAAGTCCAAAAAATAAATATACAGGGTGATTCTTTTACTAAACAACACTCATCATTTGAAAAGTATTGAAAGTGTTGTTTGATAAAAGAATCACCCTGTATATATATATATACCAGGGTTGGAGGCAAGGACGGATCCAGAAGGGGTCCTAACTCCTTTGTACTTTATAATTCTACAGATCCTAGAAAAATGTATAGAAAAATGTATTATTGTTCCTTTATTCAAAATAGGCGATAAGAAAATCTGTGACAACTATAGACCTATTTCACTTTCACTATATATTAGTAAAATATTTGGGAATGTTTAAAAAAACCTTTATACGATTTTTTAATAAAAAATAAATTTATTTCAAAAAACAATATGGTTTTCAGTCAGGAAAATCAACAATTGACGCTTTAGTCCAAGCAGATAAATATATTAGGGAAAATTTAGATAATAATAATAAAGCAATGGGCATTTTTCTTGATCTGAAAAAAGCATTCGATTCGGTAAACCATAATATTTTAATTAGTAAGCTTGAATAATATGCTGGTGTTTGCGGTAAAGCACTAATCTATTTTCATCTTTTATGGTTGGAAGATATCAAGCTGAGTGGATAACAATTTAAGTAACTTTTTACCAATTAACTATGGAATCCCACAAGGTACAGTGTTAGGACCTTTATTTTTTATAATTTATACAAATAGCTTATTTGGTCTAAATTTAAACGCTAAAATAATTAATTTTGTTGATGATACCTTAATTTTGGTTAGCGGTACCTCAAATAATGTAGTTAATATACTGGCTACACGCACCTTGGATATAATTGTTATATGTTATTAGATTCTTGTAAATGTGATAAACTTGAACATGTTCACTCAATTAAATACCTTGGGGTGATTTTTGATAGAAACTTGAGGTAGACTGGACATATAAATCATGTCGTTAGTATGATACAAAAGCTGGTTTATAAATTCAAATTGTTGAAAGATATCCTCAACACCAAGATCTTGCGTACAGTATATTTAGCACTAGTACAATCCATTATTAACTACGGTATAATTGTTTGGGGAAACCCATCTGAGTTTGCTTTAAATCCGCTTATTATTACATTAAACTCGCTGTTGAGATTTATTCTATTAAAACCGCATGATTTTTATGTAGATGGCCTTTACAAGACATTAAATGTAAAAAACTTAAATGGCTTGTATATATTGAATATCTTTAATTATATTTTTAACATAGATCTAAAAGAATATTACCCATCACATAGCTATCAAACACGCATGGAACAAACTGCAAATCTGAATATCCCAGTAACCAATAAAGAATTTGGTACAAAAATTGTTTTTAATGTCGGTATTCGTTTATGTATTAAGCTTAACATTAATTTAAAATCATATAAAAATAAATATCATTATACAATTTTTTTAAAACATCTAAATCTTAACTATGATACATTATATAAAAAAAAAAAAAAATACTTTTAGTTGTATTCCTTTCATTATATTACTCTATAATACGAATTGTTTATATTTATACCTATGTAATACGTAAATAATAATAGAATATTATATGTATATTTAAATAATTTATGTAATATAATTGTGTTGTATTGAACTTACTGCACCCACCACATGCTAAGCTTTTGGGGCGGCGTCATTAATTGTTTTATTTTAGTCTATTTTATCTTTTTGTAAAATATTATATTGACAATAAACTATTATTTTTATTATTATAATTCAAATGACACCATGTGGTCAGTATTTTAAAAGTGTATAAAATAAATGAAAAAGATTAACTGTGAGAGGGTTGGAGGCAGCCGCCAGCAATTAAAAATAGAAAATCAATATTAAATCTAAAATTTTTATTTAAATAAGTCACTTTAAATAATTTCACATTTTATACTTATTAACTTAATAACCAATATATATTTTTTTCAGTAAATTATCATTAATATAAACAATATTATTAATAATATTTTATTCACATAGTTCTAACATGGATTGTACAGACATTGGAGCAAAATTTATTCCATCTTGGCATACAAATAAAACGCCACGGTCAATAAATGCTTGAAGCCTTGCTCCACATCTATATACTTGTTTAGCTTCTCTAAAACGACCAGAAATAGGCATCCATAAAATACCCCGTTCCTCACAACGCTTTTGTACTAATTCTTTAAAGCCATGCGGCATTTGTGATGCAGTACGTACAGCTTCAGCAAGACCACCCTAAAAATAAATAATGTAATTACATATCAAAATTCTTAAAATTATATTGGTAATAAGTTATAACTAAAGAATTTTTTGATGTTTGCCTATATAATAATATAAACTATTTACGTGAATTGTAGGTGGTGGAGGTGGTTGTGGCATAGAAGGTCCTCCAACTGCTCGGCTCATTATATCTAAAGCAGAATGAAACCTCCCTTTAATAGTTGGATGTTCAACAATAACAGCAGGCATTAAAGACTTCCATCCTGTGTACCAGTTACTTATTTGTTCATGGTTGGGATTCATATTTATCCACATAGTAAGGGTTTTAAGCCAATTTGGAAAAAAATGTTGGTCTAACAATTCCACTAATGTGGGTAATGGTAATACATCTGACCATGCATTGACCCAATTCCAATTGTCTAAATAAAAACAAATATTTTTTAAAATTTCATCATCTCAATGATTATTTTTAAAATGATAAAAGTTACCTAATTGTTGATGATGTGGGTTGATAACAAAAGTATGCAGAGCAGCTTGTAATTTAGGAACAATATTTTTAATTAGAAAAGCGTCCATGTAGCCTTGCTGGAAAACCTTTAACCATGGTTGAAGCATCAACTTAGCAGAGTTGTCAGATGGATGCCAGGCATTTAATGCTACACTTAATTTTTGTCTCAGTGTAGGATAAACAATTGTTTCGAAATGTTTACCTATTTATGTTAAAAATTAAATAATAATTTTGTTTGAAATTCTTAATCTAGATAATCATTAATATTGAACTCGACTCACTTAAATATGGCAGCCAAGGGTGAATCCACAAATGGATTGGTACAATATCAGTCAATGGATCCCATTGTTCAACTTCCAACTGTATTTGTGGTAAAATCATATTTTCAAGAACATGATTAATTATGTCAGATGGTATTAATTCAGATGATTGTTCAATAAGTTTCAACATACTGTTACAATCTCGACAATTCCACTGCCTAAATAAAAAATGCAGAAACCATTACATTACATAAATCATAGAAGATAACTTTGACTTTAATATAATAGTGAGATCACCAATTAACATTTTTAGAGGGCCACTTTAAGAATTCAAGAAGTTTTTTGGGGCCATAAAAGTTGAATGTACATGTTAATCAAAAAAAGAAGGAAAGGGAACATTAAAAAATGAAAAAAAAAATTTTTGCGGGCCTTCATTTGGTGACCCCTAATCACTAACCAGTTTAGAATATTGAGAAAAAAATAATTTATTTTTTAACCAATATTATAATTACCTGCATGCTTTTTGAACTTGAGGTACCCATTCTTGCCAAATTAATGTTTGAAATTCATCACTTGACTGAAAACCAACAGCACATGGCTCATTTAAAGTTAATAATTCTTTCCATTTATTGAGTTCTTTGAAGGGCATAGTTGGATCTTGTAATGGGTCCCATGTAGATAGCATTTCTTTAATCAATATTTGAGAAATTGATAAAGCAAAAACTGATCCACCATTCAACCGATAATCTGGGTAGTAATTTTCCTAAACAGTAAAAGACTCAGCTAAGCATCATCTTAAAGATAATATTTGCATAACATACTTTCATTTCTGTGCAAAGTTGTATAGCTCGGCTACTATCCAACATTTTTTTTTTTAATGCATCATTTATAGATTCCATTATAACTATCATTTTCTCAAGAGATTCAATTGAATTATTTTTTTCACTTATATTTTCTCCTAATTTTTTAGATTCTTGTTCAATAACAATAAGCCGATCCTCTGAATCACAAAGTTCTTGATTATTAGTAACAATATTCTATAATAATAACAAAATTAAATGTTTCTATCATATTAAAATAAAATAAATTATCGTATGAAATGATGAAATTTTGTATACTTGTTCAGCTATTTCAACTAATAGGTTAAGATTGTGTAATAATTCGGGTAGATCAAAATTTGAGTATTTTTTATCTTTTCGAATTTCCCACTGATCTATTGGCTTTTTAACACCTGATATAGCATGATATCCAGATAAAATTCTTTGTTCTGGACCAGTCATATCAATTACTTTTACTCTACTTAGTTCACTGAAAAATGAAAATAATTTTTATAATTGTATAACTTATGATGTACATATTATGATTTGTTAATAATTAATATCAATATATATAAATATATAATTAGGTTGACTTAATAGTGCATTAATTGTACTTGAATTCTCGTTTTCTTTGTCCTGGTTGTTTGCTTTCTTCAATTACTTCCTCAGCAGTTTTATAATTATATTGAAGTTTTTCGGCTTTACGTGCTTTTCTCCAACCACTTACAAGTACTTTGTTATCTTTTGATTTCTCTGCTATTTTTTCTATTTTCATTGGTTTAGTTTTAGATTCCGGACCATATGCACCTAAAAATAAGATGATTGACTGTTAGGCTAAAATACGCATATTAATTTATAAGTATTTATTATCATCCCATTTACTTATTGTATCACTTGTAAATACAGATTGTAAATATATTATGTTTGTTCAATAAAAAAAAAAACAATAACTATAAAAAAAAAAAAAAAAAAAAAAAAAAAGTATTTATTACCAATAGCTCCTCTTCCTTTTCTTAAATTTGCTTCAATTGGAGCCAGAATACCTTGAAGTTTTTTTCCTAAACCCTGACCTGGTTGGTAACCCATCTATAAAATATGAAATGATAAGTTGGATTTTGATTTAAAAATAAAATATTTATAAATTACCCCGAGCAACAATTTTGCTCCAATTCCTTTTGTATGTTTTTCCCAATCTCCTAATCCTTTGTCTATTAGTCTTGAGTTTACTTGAGATCGTTTCTTTCGTAATCCTGCCACTTCTTGATCAATATCAAAACTAAATGCTGGCTTTTCTTCATCACTGTAATAATATGTTCATAAAAATATTAATTAAACATGAATATATACTTAATGTTTATCTATCAAACCTAGATGCAGAAATATTATCTTCCAAATTGTGTAACCCGTTGCCCTTTTTTTCTTCAGTTTTAATTTCTTTTTTATCTTTGCCAGCCTGTTGAACTCCTCCAGCAACAAATGAAACGGGAGCAGTGTAGTTTTGTTTATATTTCTTATCTTTGTTTCTACGGCCCCCAAAACCTGAAGGTTCATCGTCACTATCATTACCTTCTTCATCGGCCCAAATTCCTAAAAATAAATATATAATTTAATACAAATATAATTTTTATGGGGTTTATAGGTATTTATCTGTGAAATACCGTAATTTTACAACAGAATTTTTTTTAAATTTTAGTTGCAATGTTTGAAAAAAATTTTATACATAAAAATTATACATAGGTAATATACCTAAATAATATTAGAAACAATGCAGTTTTTATATAATTTTATCGTATAATTTCATTGAACAATTATTTATGTATTTGTCTTCTAGTAGGTACCTATAAGGCTCTAAATACCGGATACTCTCGGTGGCAGAAATATTAATTTACATTAATCATTTACTAAATTAAATTAAATATTTTAACCATACGCTAGATATTTATTGCTACTTATTAGTTATAACTTATAACTGTAGATAATTAATAGGATATTATACCGTAAATTGCTTGATTTTTAGTTAGTCGTCTTTGGGGTCTGTTCATATTAAATTCATTGTCCAAATCAAAATCGGTAATTTCAAATTTTTCCATTTCATCGTCAGACATTTTTAAAAGAATAGGTTTTTACTTTTCAGCTTTAAGTGTAATAAACAAATATTGACGTTACTATATCAAATGAAAATTTACAATAGGTATATTGAATATTATTATAATTTTATAATTTTTTCAAGTTTTCGCTATTTCATAATGAGCATAGTCGGCACTCGTCACTGATCGTCGGTCGTATACAAGGTTTAAGATAGTACTATCTGTTATATCAGTTATAATTTGTTATCATTTTTAATCACTTGTCTTTAACAAGTTAAAGAGTGGAAGTAACGAACGATATTATAGTAACGAACATCATATTATTATATCTTTAATCGTGGTTACCACTCGGTATCGAGTCTTGAAGTCATAAATCAATAATCATAATATTGAAACTTCATAGTTCATTGTACATTGCTTCTAATAGGTATTAGTGCTTATATTTTTACAGTAACATTTTAAATACTAAAATAGTAAAATCCGAAATATTTCAAAATAAACGAAAATGGGATTATTAAAACCAGGAATAAAATCTCGAATGGAGTCAGTCACCGAGTTTGTAAAAACTTCTTACCATATCGCCTTTATTCCATTTGTTATATACATGGGTATGTTGTTTTTATAGTACAAATCATTACATTTTTAACTATAATATGGATTCAACTATTGTCTTGATGTTTCATTAAGTTTTATAGTACCCCATATTATTCAATGTTGAGGAGAATAAAAATAAAAATAAAAATATAGGATTTAAAGTTAAAAAGGTTAAAATATAGGTAGTTTTTTTTTTTTTTCTCAAAACGATGTAACACATTTGAGTTGCTTACTATTCTTAGGTAAATGGCTAATGGGTTCCTATCTATCTTAATATTATAATATATTTTCATTAATATATTAATATTATGTTTGTTACTACCTATCACATTAATAAACCTGTACCACAGAAGTCAACTAACACAAGTTAATTTTTTTAAATTTTGAGTTAATTATATAATCAGAATATGCTTTTTGTGATCTTTTTAAAGGTATCAAAACGTAAGTCCTATATACAGTAAATGCATAGATAGCAAGAAGTATACTAACTTAAGTCCTAAACTACTGATAGGAGTATAGAAACATATGACAAGCGTAGGAAAATAATATAAAATAATATTTTTGAAGCATACAATTGTAAGTCCATTGCAACAAATTTTTTTGATTTGTCTCTCCTGTAAAATTTGCTTTTTGTGACTTGCGTTAGTTGATTTCTGTGGTACAGAAAATAATAGAAATAAATGTATAATTTAGGTACCTACTTATTATTATATTTTAAAGGTTTCCAAAAAGGACCAGAAGTTGGCGGCCCTGCATTTGGACTTTTAAGGTAATATTTTTTAAAATTATTAATTAGATTATTTCTTTATATTTTATTTCATTAGTTATCAAAATATTGTATTTTATGTTTAATAATGTTAATAATAATTTTTATAAAATATTTATTTCTAGTCTCCTGTGGCAGTAAATTAGAAAACAATCTTCATCTCCAACAAGACACATTTATGTATTATTTTAGAATAAAAATAATTTATTCATTAATTTGTGTTTTATATTAACTAGTGAAATAGTATGCTGTTTAAGCTTAATATTGTAAAATAAATTTGTTATAATGTGATCAGTGTATTATTTAATAATTTTTCTTTTATTGATTGTAAATGTAAGCTTGTAACCTAACTAATTTAGGATGTACTTACTTACTGTATCTATTCTCCTGGCACATTAAAAACACAGTTCGACATCTAAAACTGGTTTTTACCAATGTTATCAAGCATAGAAAGTCCTATTATAATTAATATTTATTAAAAATCTCAAGTGCAATACAAGTAATAATTAATTCGGAATTTATTATAGGTAAATGTTTTTTTTAATACCATAGATATGTATATAATAAGTCTTATACCCAGACTGACATACCGTCTCCGCTCAGAATCGTTTTTCTTATACAATGATATTATATCATTGAATTCAAATTTAATACCATCCATTATACGGTGACCCACTTGTAACCTACTGTACAGCCGAGCACATTTTTTTTGTTTGAGTTAGGATGGTAAGAACATAGGCGTGCACATACTTTTAGTTCTGGGGGTGCACAATAAAAATTATTGCCCACAATAATACTGAAATCAACTATAGATACAGACTAATGTTTTAAAGATATCAATTAATGCACTAAAAATATTTATTTTATTTATTTTTCATTCTAATAAACATTACATAGCAATATATAGATATACAATCTTATAATGATAGTCAACGTTTAAAAGGAACAACATTTTTGAATTTGTCAATAATTTAATTAATTTACTTTACACTTAATGAATAATTAGGGCCCTAGTTGTTTTTGGTGAAGTATAAATTTTAGTACGTCAGTATTTTTTATCCAATAGATATTATATTATTATTATTTGGTGCCTTTTTTTGGGACAGAGCCCTTCGATAGTTATATTTATAATTTTAATTAGATTTACTCGTTTAAAATGCAATACATTTATTTGACGTTGATTAATATAAGTAGTCTTAGCTGTTTTAGGTAGTACAAATTACAATATAATTATTAATGTAAAAAATATATAAATGATTAATTATTTTTTCTCATTAGTTTTACTTTTTTATTGTATCTATAAAAGCGGGGCCTGTCCAGCTGTGGCGAATGCGTGGGGCTCGGTGCGAGGGCCTTGCTCGCAGGGGCGGACAGGGCCGGCGGGATACCAGGAACTTTCCCGATGGGCCACTGCTCAAGAATAATTTTTATTATTATTTATTTATAATAAAATCAGTAGGTAGGTATAAATATAAATTATAAATATTTTGTATTTTCATATCATAATAACGGTTGAGTGTGAAAAATTGTTTATATTATATTTGGTGTATAAGATTTTAGATTTCGGTTCAGCTGATTGACCAGTCCTTCGGCATCAATGCATAATCACAAATTATTATTTATAACTAGAGCGTGAATTTAAATATAAATTGCATTTTTTTCTACATTTTCTTAAACATTGCTTTCCAATCAAAAAAATGTATTTCATACATAAAATAATTTAAAAATGAAATTTATATTTAGCATTTTTTGAACTTTATTGATTTTTAGAACATTTTTTTGATGTTTTTATGACATTTATATGGTTTGAAGGAATTTTTGGTAAATATTATAAGTATAAATATAATTTTATAAACACTATTGCTTAAATTCCTTCAATAAGTTCAATATAATTAAAAAATTAAAAAATTTCTTTTAAAAAACACTTTTCTAAAAAAACAAAAAAATAATGAAAAATTTAAAAGTGTGTGGTATAATATGTCAAGTATAAGAGCGCCACACACTTTTAAATTTTTCATTATTTTTTTGTTTTTTTAGAAAAGTGTTTTTTAAAAGAAATTTTTTAATTTTTTATTTTCTACTTTTTAGTTAGAAAATTTTTTTACGGATTATTGTATTGTCATCCAAGACCAAGGTCTATACCAATTTTCAGAATTTTTCATCTTCAAAAAGTGCCTCAAATCGAGCGCGCAAGATTTGATCACAGACAGACGTGAAACCAAACTTAAGAAAAGTGTTAAAAATCATTTTTTTTTACTAATATTTCTATTTTATTACATCTTAAGTTTACTCCTATGACTTCAGTTAGGTATACAAAACAATACTTGCCAATTATAACTGTCAAAGTTTTTTATTTGAAAATATTAGTTAGTTTCTGATTGACCAGTGATACAACGAAACACAAAATATAACGACTATACCTATTTAAGTTCTACCTATTTTATCTCCATTTAAATTGGCTTTTAATTTTTCTGGGCATTTTATTAAGCTTTGTAATATTGTAACTAGTGCATAAAATCGTATTTTTAAGGCATTTTTCTTGTTTTTTTTTATTGTATTTATAACCATGCCCTATTTATAATTTAATATGGCTTTATTAGACCAATCGATTAATATATCCACTTCTAGCCAGCCAATATTCACTTAATATTACCTAATACCTAATATTAAATTGTACACAATAAAAAATATAATATAATTATAATTACATAATAATAAAATATAAAAAATAATTTGTGATAATTTGATAGGTATTTATAAGCTGATAACTAAAAGGTACAGTTCCGTACGTTCAATGTAACGTTCTTAATTCAAAAAAGTGAATTTTTGAACTTTTTTTCATTTTATTTTAGTGCGTTGTTTGATGGTTTTGTAATATTTACTTATCTATTTGTTGTTTAAAATGGAAACTATAAGAAAGGGTGGGGTTGAGAAAATCAGAGAGAGAGAGAGAGAGAGAGAGAGAGAGAAAGGATACTCTTAGAAATATCAAGTTAAAACTTAAAGTAGTAAGAACGACCTATGTTTTTCATCCACAGAAAATGATACATTATACTATGCAGTATCTACATGTAATTAAAATAAAATACTAAACACATTGAGAATCTTAAGTTGTCTCCTGAGAGAATTGAAGATGAGTAGAGGATGCAACCCTCATTTGTTAAAACTTTGGTACCATATTTAATTCTTACATTTAATGATGACGAAATGGTGAGGGCTGGTCAAAATATAGTTTTCCCGGGCTGAATAGTTTCCCCAGTCCGCCCCTGCTTGCTCACCCTGCCCTAGGGACTGCCCTGATTCAAATACTTTACAACACTGGTGCACTACCTACCCAAACTCAAGAAAAATTGAAAACATAAATCATAATAGTACAACTAAATATTTATAGGGCCATAGGGATCTAGGACATTTCGCCGCCAGACCAAATTGTCAACCAACCCTTCGAATTTTGAAAATATATTCACGATTTGTTTATTATAGCAATTTTATTGCATTTTTAATCATATTACTATATTACATATTAGACAATTACCTACTAATTTGTGTGTAGTGTACCTAAATCGAGTTTTAAAAACGAAAGGGGGTGAGTCGTAAGTTAGTAAAGATAAAATATCTACATTCTTTGCTTTGTGAAATGTATAATGTATTAACATAA